TCTCCCTCTCCCTCTCCCTCTCCTTCTCCTTCTCCTTTTTCTTCTCCCTTTCCTCCTTTTTTTCCTTCTCCCTTTCCTCCTTCTCTTTTTCCTTCTCCCTTTCCTCCTTCTCCTTTTTCTCCTTCTCCCTCTCCCTTTCCTCCTTCTCTTTTTGCTTCTCCTTTTCCTTCTCCCTTTCCTCCTTCTCATTTTCCTCCTTCTCTTTTTCATTCTCTCTTTCCTTCTTTTCCCTTTCCTTCTCCCTTTCCTCCTCCTCCTTTTCCTCCTCCTTTCCCTCCTTTTCCTCCTCCTTTTTCTCCCCCTCCTCCTCCTCCTTCTCCTCCTTTATCTCCTCCTCTTCCTCCTTTTCCTTGTCCTCCCCTCAAATCTACCACAGACTCTACAAAACACTAAAATAACTTGCCTTGGATTCCTTGAATTTCTCATTTTGCCTGAAATTCTCCTAAAAACCTTCCTGACATGTGACCTTCATGTCCAAAGTACAGGAAGTCGGGGTGTTTGTGTGTGTTAATCCTCCTTTTGCAGCAAGGAGTGGGAAGAAAAATCCACTTTAACACAGAGCCAGGGGGAAAAAAATGATACTTTCAGGGAAATAATAAAAAAAGCACTATTCAGGATGGTTTGTAACTCCTTTAAGTGGGTAACAGTGACACTCAGTGGCTGCCCTGGTGCTTTGGGAAATCCAAACACTGGGAAGTGTTTCCTGGTGTTAATGCCATGCTCAGGGCTGGAGGAGAAAGCAGTGGATGAGGCCTAGTATTTATAATTTATTAATATAGATATTTTATGAGTATTAGGATATATTATTCTGGTGTTAATTTTTTAGCAGTTTTCAGCTCGGCAGCAAATCAGGCTTTTAAAATGCAGCAAGTTCAGCTGTAATTATCCCTTATTAATAAAATATTGGTAGTTTACACCCATTTGGTTGTTTAATCAACTGCTGTAATGAAAATTAAAATATTACAGAGCTTACAGGGCTCTCAGTCTGAGTAATCACTCTGATATTTCACCTCCCCTTTCCTGTGTGAAAGTGAGATAAATATTTGGGACTTTTCTTGCACCTCATAAGTCTACCCTGAAACAAGCTTATTTATCCTATTTTAAAGTTTTAAACCCAAAAGTTGCTGTTAAAGTGACTTCAGATTTTCTGAAAACATCAATTCACGAACGAGCTTTTCATACAACTTTAATTTCCTAGAAGTTGGTGATTTTAGAAATGATTATTTTCCCAGTGAGGGTGAAGTCAGGTGATCTCAAAGAGCATTTGAAGCTCCTCTGTGTTTTTAATTTTTTTTTGGTTCCCGTGCTGAAACCAGGATGTGTCTCATCTTCCAAGTCAGGAAGTGACAAGTGACTGAAATTATTCTTGAGACCATTTTAAAATTGAAAATTTTAAAGGCTCCTTTATCACCATTGCACACTCATTTCCTTTTATTGATCCTCTGATTTTTTAAAATTAATTTGAATGCAACAAATTACCTTTTTTATTCTGCTTTAGTGAGGTGTTACTGATGTTTCCTTTTTTCACTCCCCAATTGTTTTTACAAATGCAGGGGCAGAAATGACTGTGCCATGAGCTTCCCAAATTCCTCACCCTGTTCCTCACTTTCTGTCCATGAGCTTCCTTAGTGTCAGATAGAAATTACTGCAGAACCATGGACTGATTTCAAATTGCAATTTAAATCTCTCCAAGGGGAAGTTTTGTGGAAAATATGAGATCTGGGTTTTGAATTCTCTCAGAGCACTGTAATTCCTTGGGTTAAAAGCAGGTGGTGCAGGGCTGTGGTTCTCCTCCCTCTCCTGCCTTTTCCCTCTCCAAAAAAATCCAAACCTAAACAAACACACAAAAAAAAACCCACAAAAAAAGAGCAGCAAAGTCCTTATCTTTTAAAATATATTTGTTTTCTTGTATTTATGGTTTCATTGGGCAGTTTGTGTTCTGTACTGCCCAGAGAAATATCAACCTTTGACTCCCTTTCTCTGGAAATTGAATATTGAACTTTTTTCTTGCAGGATTTAATGATTTTTGAACGCCAGTGGACCAACTTTTTTGCTAATTTTGACACCGAAATTCCCTTCATTCTGGAGCTCTCGGAATCCCAGGCAGGGGAGGTAGGTCTGCTTCAGGAATCCTTGGAAATCCTGCTCTCAGCCGTGCAGAAGGAATAAGAATTCAGCATTAGGGTTATTTTTTTTTTTCCTGCCACATCTCACCTTTGAGGGCTCTGCAGAGGGACCTGGAGAGGTTGGAGAGTTGGGCTGATTCCAACGGGATGAGGTTCAACCAGGCCAAGGGCCGGGTCCTGCACTTTGGCCACAACAACCCCCAGCAGCTCCAGGCTGGGCCAGAGGGGCTGGAGAGCAGCCAGGCAGGAAGGGAGCTGGGAGTGTGGAAGCTGAACAGGAGCCAGAGTGTGCCCAGGTGGCCAAGAAGGCCAATGGATCCTGGCCTGGCTCAGGAACAGTGTGGCCAACAGGTCCAGGGGAGTGATTCTGCCCCTGGAGTCAGCACTGGTGAGGCCACCCCTGGAGTGCTGTGTCCAGTTCTGGGCCCTCAGCTCAGGAAGGACATTGAGGGGCTGGAGCAGGTCCAGAGAAGAGCAACGAGGCTGGGGAAGGGACTGGAGCACAAGTGCTGTGAGGAGAGGCTGAGGGAGCTGGGGCTGTTCAGCCTGGAGAAGAGGAGGCTCAGGGGAGACCTCCTCACTCTCTGCAACTCCCTGACAGGAGGGGGGAGCCAGGGGGGGTTGGTCTCTTTTCCCAGGCAACCATCAGCAAGACAAGAGGGCTCGGGCTTCAGCTGTGCCAGGGGAGGTTTAGGTTGGAGATTAGAAAGAATTTCTTTGCAGAGAGGGTGCTCAGCCATTGGAATGGGCTGCCCAGGGAAGTGGTGGATTCTCTGTCCCTGGAGGTGTTTAAGGACAGACTGGATGTGGCATCAGTGCCATGGGCTGGGAACCACAGCGGGGTTGGATCAAGGGTTGGACTTGATGATCTCAGAGGTCCCTTCCAACCCATCTGATTCTATGATTCTATGATTCTATGAAAACCTGTGGTTTGGGTTTTTTTCAGTCCCCACCCACCTTAAAAATCCCTGGTATGGTGGTTTAGGATTGCTGGGGTGATTCAGTGGAGTGTTTGCTCACTGATAATTCGATTTAGCTGATTTATACCTGCACAGCAGATATTTGTAGGTAGATTAACTTTGAGTTTGCTGGACTCTGGTATGTGCAGGGCTTAACAATTCAGAATTGCACGTATCAAAATCTCAAATATAACAGAGGGGAACACAAACCTGGGTGAAAAAACCACAGGACTGATGCTTTTGAAACACTTTGTTGCTTTTTTTGAGCAACCTGGGCTAGTGGAAGGTGTCCCTGCCCAAGGCAGGGGGGTTGGAACTGGATGGGTTTTAAGGTCCTTTCCAACCCAAATCACTCTGTGATTTTATGGTGATTTTTTACAGAGGTTGAAAGTAGTTTTAGGGGGTTCAGGATTTTTCTCTGAGAAAGATAATTCAGGTTTGTTCTTAATCGTGGTGAGGATATATCATGATTTCTGTTCTGTCCTGTTACTTGTTAATTTTTTTTTAATAATAATTTTAAAATTTAATTTTAATTTTTAAACAAAAATAATAATTTTGGTGGTTTTTTTTTTCTTTTTTAAATCTCCACAGCCCTTCAGAAGTTATTTCAGCCATGGCATGATCTCAAGCCACATAACAGATAACAGGTATTACTCATTATTCCCTGGGAATTAGTACCTCAGTGTGTGTTATTCCCATATCCCTGATGCCAGAATGCATCAGTTATAATTCCTTTTGGGACCATCTCAGTATTATCCCATCTCATATTAAATAAAACCACCATGCAAAGGAAGGGTAAAACTGAATTTTCACGGGATTTAACGCTGTAGTTCTTAAATATACAATGTGATTATGTTTGAAACTCTCCACCTTGTGCATTTGATATGATCCAGTTCTTCCCTGTCCCATCCCTGGAAGTGTCCAAGGCCAGGTTGGAGCAACCTGGGCTAGTGGAAGGTGTCCCTGCCCATGGCAGGGGGTGGCACTGGATGGGCTTTAAGGTCCCTTCCAGCCCAAACCATCCTGTGATTCCATGACAAAGTTTTAATTGAAAGAGGAAGGTTGCTTGTCTTCTGTTTCAAAACCAAAGTTCTGCTGCTTTGAGTTAAATCAAGGTTTTTTAGCTACTTCGATGTCTCTGCAGCTTCCTCTTTATTTGGAATAAACCAGTGTCCCTCATTGTTTGCAGCATCCCTTCGTGTTTGCCCTGAAATAATGAAACGACAAACCTTGACCTCTCCAACTGAGTCTTGGGCCCAAAGCCAGAACTAAAAAACCCCAAAATAGTTTTTTTAATTCCAATACAGTTGTTTCAGGGTTTTTCAAGATGGTAAATTTAAACATAATCACTTTTCAAGGCAGTTTACTTTTAAAAAGGGGGGAAAAAAAAAAACCCTTGTAATCTCATTTGGGAACAGCCTTGAGATTTGTTCTTGTGCTTGAAAGAAATGATCATCTTGTCAATGCAAGCAGCTTTTTCTTTTGGAACTTGGTCTTTACAATGGGAAGCTTTGTGAGCCCTGGTAAAATTCACTACTTGGAAAAATTCACTACTTGGTCCCTCAGACTTGAAAGCTTTCATTTCATTTGTTTTTAAGTTCCCTGCCAAGTGTTTTGGTGGTGATTCCCTGTTTCCTCCCCAGCCCCAGCCGGCAGCCCTTTGTCCTGTTTGGCAGCCACTCCACCAAGGAAAACCTGAACTCTGGTAACTTTAATTTTCCATCAGAAGGACACCTTGTTCGAAACACTGGCCTTGGTGGGAGCACTGCCAAGCACATGGTAAGGCTTTGGAGTAGTTACCTGAGATTTTGGAGCTTTTTTTTTTGGCAGAGTTTCTCTTTTTCTTCCTGTGTTTTTTGTGCTTGCCTTCCGTGAGTTAAACAGCTGATTCTTCTTAACATAAAAACATGTTAGTTTAACAATTAGTTTAAGGAAGAAATTTTCTTTTTTCTTTCTTCTTCCAAGTTATAAGATTGGATGCTTAATCAGGAACTGATGAATGATTTATTTCCTGTAAAAATACAGCTTTTTAAACACTTGTGTGTGGGGTGGGGGAGAGGGAAATGCTGTTTGTGAGGACGTTTGTCCTGGTCATGAAGAGAAACCCTTCTATGATGTGTTTAACCCTGACACACAGATTTGATTTTAATGGGATTTCTTAAGAAAGAAGTGAAAAGACACCTTTTTTTTTTTTTTGATATTAGAACAGAATTTTGTGAACAGACAGGAGATTTTTCTGTGTATCCAAATTCCAGCTTGTGTCGATGAAACAAAACCCAGCGAAGTGTCGACGAAACTGAAACTCTCTGGGGTGTTCTGAGAATGTTCCAATGAATCTGGGGTGTTCCAAGAATGTTCCAATGAATCTGGGGTGTTCCAAGAATGTTGCCATGAAGTTGTAAAGATTAACTTGTTTCCGTTTTCAAGTAAAAGCTTAGTTGGTAAACATTTGATGAGGTCGAAGGCGGCGCAGGGGCCGTGACCGGGGGAGCCACCCCCGGGAACTGGGATCCTCTGGCTGGAGGGGCCTCGTGGCTCCAGAAGGCAACGGGCAGCGAAGGAGGAGAGAGGTAGAGTGTGGACACCTCCCTGCTCCCTCCAGGGGCTCCGGGAGTGTCCGCCAGTGGTGCGAGTCCAGATGGATGTGGTTGAGTCCAGGTCATCGTGGAGTGGACGGATGAGTGAGGGGATGAGTCCGTGACAACATTCCATGTGCACTTTTCCTCAGGGAATGGATGGACGTGGGTGTTCTGGACACATCAAAAGCCTGAGAAAGGATTGTTTTGTAGCATCCTGCTGAAACCTCATCCTCCATCTGCTGCTCTAACACGCTCTCTCTCTCTGAAAACACTTTCAACTTTTGTCTTTTCTTCCCCTGATAACATTGAGACCATTTGCTGCCTTTCCCAGTGCGAGTACAGTTTTATTCTGATGTACTTGCTCCATCTGTTCTCCTCAGATTCTGATGCTGTTCTTAAAAAAGGTGGTTTATTTACAGGTACAGGTGATACTGTTGTAATAGGGTGTCATGAAAATAGTAAATAAGACCAGCATAGTTATGGGAACCTGACCCACTTTCCTCTCCATGAAAAGAGCAGTTGGCATAGGAAATTGAGAACCCAAGTCAAAACTCATCTCCTTCCCAAAGTCTTTCAACCATTCAGGTCGAGTCAAAAGTGAACTAGACCTTTGAAAACGTAAGTTTTGCTTTTTCCAACTCCAGTTCCGTGTGTGTCGTAAACTTCCTGTAGTTTGTCAGTGCTTAGAGGACTTAAGGGGAACTTAGTTTATTGTCCATTATTGCACCAATTTGCTTTACTAATGTCTCTTTGTGTCTCATTAATACTGACTACCAGGTAGTGCAGTGTGTGTCTCCCAAGGGACCTCTGGCTTGTTCAAGGACCTATTTTTTTGGGACCAGTCACGTTCCTTTCCTGGGTGAGTACATTAAAAAATGCCGAGGCAGATGCTCTCTTTAATTATTTTTAAATTTGCAGCAATTAAAAGCTGGCTCTGATTCCTTTCTGAGCCACGGGAGTGGTAGGTGTTGTGTAGTTCTGTAGCCAGGGCATGGGATCATAGCAGGTTTCAGGGGTAAAATGTGTCCAGAGGTGAGTGTTCCACAGAAAATCTGTCAGATCAGACTGTGCAGGCCTTTCCCAAGCACTAGACAAATATTTCAGTCAATGTCCCTTGCAGTTTGATAGAAAAAAACTCTCTAAAAATATAGTAATTCAAACTATTTATTATCCTCAGATAACTGAGGATTTGTAAAAGAACAGAGGAAATTCTTTCACCCTGTTTTTAATTTTTTAAATTTTATTTAAATTTTTTTTTGGTTTAAATTTCCCTTATCCTCTGGCTTGGGCCCAACACAGTGAGTTAACAACAGCTGTTTTCCCAAATAAAAACAAGCCACGTGGAATTTTTAAAGCCCATTTTCTTCCCTGTTTTAAGTGGCTCTATGAATCCTTGGATAAAGTCAGTCCTTGCTGTCTATCTTGAAACCATAACCAGCTCAGAAAACAGCTGAAGAGAAGATGGTTGGAGCATTGGAATTAAGGATGGATTCACTGTGGTTGTGCTTTTTCCTGGGCATCCAGGAATGGCCACGTTGGGATACAGGATATGGGCTGAGAGGGCTCCTTGTTCTGACCCCCTGCAGCTGATTTTAGGGGACTCAGGTCTTAGTCTTGGCTGCCCTGACACAAGTTGTGCTTTGCTCTGCTCTAAACCTTCAATCCAACTGCAGCAACAGAAAACCCTGGATAATCCCACGTGAAATGTGCAGCAGAAATGTCCCCAAAGTGCTTCAACCAACCCCTTTTTTTTTTTTTTTTTGTTTTCATGCAGGAAACGACAACGAGGTGCACAAGGAAGCTGATCAAGTGTAAGCTTTTTATATTATTCCTTAACTCTTCTCCCTTTTTGCCTCGTGGCAGTTGGTCAAACCTGCTTTTGGTGGCTGTTGGCATTTGCAGAGACACATTTTTATTCAGAATAATGTGATGGTGAGAGGGTTTCAAAGGCAGAGTGTGCTCATGGAGGGTCAAATTAGGAGTTTGCTGTGACCATCCCTTCTGCTGTGCAGCAAAGTAGGAAAGGAAATATTAGTAAATTTTGGTAAATTTTAATAAAAAAATTGTTTTAAATTGCTTGAATAATTTTTAAAGGTACTGCTTATATACCAAGGGGGAAAGTATCTCAAACTGAACGGGAGCATCATCCACAGACAGAAAGAAAAGTAATTTTCAGACCAGTTTCATTAAGTGTAAGATTTATAGCGAAATGCCAACAGGGAACACTCAAACTTGCAAAGGAATTCACTGTGGAAAGTCAGATAAAAGTTAATTTTTCAGTTGGGAAGCTGCAAAGCATTTTAACCTTCTCCAGGTCAGAGTGTGTTTATCCATGTCCATGTCCTGTGTGTTGGTAGATCCTGTCCAGCTTTAGGAACATAGAAAATCTGCTCTCTCTCTCTCTCTCTCTGGACAAACCAGACCTTTCCTTAGGGATTTTGTCTTCCTTGGTAGTTGGGATCATTTCAGGAGCCTGGATTTGCTTCTGCAAACCTGCATGACCTGTTAGCAAGAGATTAAAGATGTGTCAGTACTTTAATACTGAACTACTGTTGATTTTTATTAATTTAATACTGTTCTCAAAGACATAAAAGTGGAATTACTGCCCTGAGCAGCAGATTTGTCCTTTTTTTATAGTAAACTGAACTCCAACAGGTAATTTTTCTGCTCAAACATTTCTTGTCCCACCTCTAAAAGACTTTAAATACATTTCTAGCCAAGATGAGTAGAAAATCTGTAAAGAAAGCAGTTGATAAAGGCAGTGTTTTTATATGAATATCTTTTTTCTTGGAAGCATCCCTGTGTTGGATCAAATAATCAACAACAGCAGCATAAATAGCTTTTTTTGGCAAACCTGATCTCATGATTTTGGGCCTTTTTTTGCAGTTGAGTCCTGTAACTGGTTCTTATATTTGTCAATATTTCCATAAGCAACATTCAGTCCAAATTTGGGTGTATTTAGGAAGCAGGACTGCAGTTTGGCTGGAATGCATAAACTGACTGTACCTCTGAGGATAAACTGGGATAAACTTTGTAGTTTTATATTTTTTTTTTTCAGAAAATGCCATTCTGTGTTTTGCACTGTCAGTGTTAAAATTTTAAGGTGGGAAGAAGAGTAAAGTATTTATACTGCTACACTGATATTAACTGTTGATGACTGATGGAAAGCACAGCCCACTGAGGTGTTTCCTTGCAAATATTTGTGTGAATCTGAGGGAAAATAGGAATGGTCACAGAGTTAGGAACAATTAGACACTTTTCTCATACCAGCTGCACTGAAAATACTTTGACTGCATATTTAGTCCATGAAATTACGTGGGACAAACCTGAAAAAATAGTAGGAAGTTTGAATTTTAAAATCACTTGGTGCTATTGGGGATGATCAAAGTCAGGCTTTGGTGCATTTTGGGGTCCCTCCACATTTGAGAGCTTCAGCTGCTCTTCTCCCATCCCTCAGGAATGTTTGCATTGGCTTCCAATGCTGGATCCTCCTCTTTCCTCCCCCCTCTCCCCTCCCTTGACACCAAGCAGTGGCAGAGAAGTAATGAGAGGAGTTAAAATTTGGGCAAGTGGGACTTTTTGGTCGATTTACACATCTTTCAGTTGCAATTCAGCAGGAATTTTGAACTGATGTTTCTTGGTTGGGCACAGGTGGGGTTTTTTTCCCAGTTGTTTTGGAGCTGTAAATGTGTAAAGGCTGAAAGTCACTCTTGGCTTCACCAACTCTGGTTCATTTCTGGGCAATATTTTTCAATTCCCTTTTAAGAAGGGAACATGACTAAGGTGTGGTGTGGATGTCATGGAATCCTGGAATGGTTTGGGTTGGAAAGGACCTTAAAGGTGATCGAGTTCCAGGCCCTTACCATGGGCAGGGACACCTTCCACTAGAACAGGTTGCTCCAAGCCCCATCCAACCTGATCTTGGACACTTCCAGGGATCCAGGGGCAGCCACAGCTTCTCTGCCCAACCTGTGCCAGGGCCTCCCCACCCTCCCAGCCAGGAATTCCTTCCCAATATCCCATCTATCCCTGCCCTCTGGCACTGAGAAGCCATTCCCTGTGTCCTGTCCCTCCATGCCTTGTCCCCAGTCCCTCTCCAGCTCTCCTGGAGCCCCTTTAGGCCCTGCAAGGGGCTCTCAGGTCCCCCTGGAGCCTTCTCTTCTCCAGGGGAACCCCCCCAGCTCTCCCAGCCCTGGCTGTGCCAGGTTGTTGCTCCTTTCATGGCCTTCAGAAGTTGGACAAACAATCAGTGACCCAGATTATCTGGAGGACTCCGTGTGTGCTGCCTTTCCAAGGCTGATTCCAAGGAGACTGATTGCACTGAAATGGAGCTCCCTAAAACAATGGGATGTGATTCTTAACACAACTGCAGTGAAAGTCAACAGGAAAACATGTTTTTATTCTTGCCTGAACAGGGCTGCATTTGTGTCAGGAGGTACCTCCCCAAAATATTCTGTAACTCGAGCAACTCCCTCGCTCTAATTTAATTTTCTCAACCCAAAAGCTTAATTATAAACCTACTTCTGCACTCATTTGAGCCAGGACCCCTTTTTTTATGAAGAGGTTTGTGCAATGAGAGGAAGAACTGCCCCTTTAGGCAGAGGAGGAAGAAAACTCTCCGTGTGTAGTAAATGTTGTGTTTGATTCTCTCTTCAGTGCTCTGTTGTCGCAAATCTATTCTGCTGTTGTAGAGGCTGTGCTTGCTGGCATTGAGTGCTATGCTAAAACTTCCACTGAATCCAAGGTAAATGAAGCCCCCCCTTCTCTCTCTCGTTGTTCATTTGGATTGCTCATGCTGGGCCATGACATGCAAACCCAAATTAAACCCAGAGAAGAAACCGTCAACCCCAAAATTAATGTCGTGGTTCGTCTGCGTAACTCAAAGTTCAACCCGTGGCCTCCAACCAGTCCCTGAATTCTGCTTAAAAAAACCCCACCTTTCAGAGTGTTCCTGTTATCCACCTGCAATATTTTGCCATCTTTCATGAACTTTCCTGTGAAAGAACAAATTTTAGCCTGGTGCATCAGTGTGTTCCTGTTTAGTGTCTTGTTCATCTCACGGGTGCTCCTGTGGTTGCTGGGATTTGTAAAAAGGATGGGTGGGGAAAAGGGGTTTCATCCTCCATCTCCTTTTTTTTTTTTTTCAGGCAAAGGAGGTGGCAGAGCAGGTGCTCATGGCTGTGTTAGACACCCTTTGCTTGACACAGCTCAAATCTGCTTTACGGTGGGTATTTCCTACAGTTCTTGATTGATCTCTTGTCCCCGTGGGGAAAAATATCAAATATATCAAATATATTGGGGAAAAATATACCAAATATTGATTTAAAACTGGCTACCAAACACTTCATGATGCATTCAGGCTTTTTAAAATAATTATCCCATTTTCTTACTTTTTTTTTTTATCACTTCAGTTATTTTGCTTCAAATCTACTCCTGTTAATTTTTCACGTGTAGAAGAATTCTAACCAACGTGTTTCACCAGTGCAATTTCTCTTCCTGCAGCTCCAAAATTGCTTTTCAAATTCAGGCTGTGAACAATCATGGAAGGTTTGTATCACTGCCTCAGACTTCTTGTTATCAATTAGTGCTTTTAATACCGTGATAAATTTATTTTTCTTCTCTTAGAGCTTCTCTGAGAAAACGTTGCCCTCGATTATTTCACACGAGATGTGCAAAAGGCTTTTGTGGATGAGATGGTTGAATGGTTTCATATCTGTAATTCTGTGGAATCCTAAAAACATTAAAAAAAAGTAAAAAGCAATTGGGCAGAGCAGTTTTATTAACTGTTAATGAGTGGAAGCAGCATGAGCTCATTAAGAGTTCCCTTTTAAAATTTGCTTTTAAATTAGTTGATATCACAAGCTCGTTCTTCTTAACCCCTATGCTGTCTGATTGAAATGGCCTCCACAAATAAGAGCTTATTTTAAATTAAAATAAAGTAGCTTTTTTTGTTTTTTGGCTGCTTTGGAGCCCCTAAAAATGATCTAACTTCTAAATATTTAATTGTCACTGTCGTTCTAGAATTACCCCGTTAGATAACGAGGACAGCCTGAGTTTGATCAAAACGGTGAGGAAGCTCTTCATTATTTATTATTATTGGGTTTATTTTATTTGTATGGTTTTATTAGAAAATAGAGCTCAAGTGGCAGGTTTTCTGGGGCGTGTTGAGATCTTCATCTCTGTGAACATCAGTGTAAGAGGAGATATAAGAGATGCTTATATCAGGTTTAATATTAAGTCAGACCGTGGAAATTGGAACAAAACATTGGCATTAATTAAAGTTTATGATCTCAGACTTTCCACCACTGTAGAGAAGTGGTTGTTTGGGGTGCTTAAAACACACAGATTTTGCTGTTTCACTTGAAATATTTCAAGTTCTGCTTTCCCTTCCCTTCCCCCCAACTCTGGGATTGCTGCAGGCGTCCATGATGGTGTTTGACATTCCCGACTTGCTCACGGGAAGAGGATGTTTGGGATCTGTTGTGTTTTCAGAGTCCTTTCTGACATCACAGATACAAGTCAAAGAAAAAGGTGAATATTTGAAGTTCTGAGTGTCATTCTGTTGGCTTGGCTGTGCTGGAAGAGCACAAGGGATCCCAGTGGATGTTGTTGCTGTTCCCCCGATGGGTTTGGAGCACTTTTGGTGGGAAGGAGAGCAAAGGAAGAAGCCACATAAACACCAGAACAAATGAGGCTTTCTCTGGAATTGTCCAGCAGCTCTGTGTCTGTCAGAGCACACGAAAACTGGGAGTTAGGCTGTTGTGAGTTCACTTAAACACTCATAAATCCTTCAAGCAGTGAGAACATTTTCATATGTCCTAAAGAAATTTCAGCTCTTAAAAGCGACTTGTTGGGCAATCTGAAGTACAGGGGTGGAATTATGGTTTGGTGGGCGTGGTGATGTCAGGTCTGAGGTTGGATTTGATGAACTTGGAGGTCTTTTCCATGATTGTCCTGCTTTGCTTCCACGGTTTTTCCCTGCAGATGGCAGCATTACTCCAGAAACCAGCCACGTTGTCCTGACTGCAGGAATCCCGAGGTTCACGTCCTGGCTGGTGAGTCCACACACACTCACCTGGATTTATACACCAGGGAACACTTGTTAGGGAAGGAAGGAAGGATGGATGGATGGATGGATGAGGGGAAAATACAGAACTTGGGCGTTGAAGCAGAATGTTAATATGTGAATCTATTCTGATTTTTGAATTTGGACATGCAGTGAAACTAATGGGTGGAAACAGGCTGTGGATCCATTCTTAACACAAGTTTGAAATCATTTTTAGCTGTTACAAGTATAACAGAGGGTAACTTCTGGAAAATTCTGTTTATTGTGAGGCCCTCTAGATCACCCCAACAGGAAGCAAAGTCTGATTGCAGCCCTCTAATGTGCTACCCTGTGTTAGAGGCAGAATTCCAATGACTTTAATAAAGCTGGGCAACATTCTGCCTTTGTCAACCCATAATTTACCAGTAGTGTAAAATAAGACTGGATGGGATACCCTGTTTTCTGTCCATACAATAGTATTTTAGTCTGTAAAAGCATTTATTGGGGAGAATGTTATGCATTTAATTTAATGGAAGGAACTATTTTGGTCCCATAATAACACAGTATTTAAGAGCACAAAACTGCCTTTGCAGCTTGTCTGCCTCTGGTACCTGAGGTTCTTTTTTGCCTCAGAACTTCCTTAATGCTTTTTATTTAGCATTAGACTGCCTTTATTTAACTTGTCTTATTTGACATTAGACTTGCTTTATGTAACTTGTTTTATTTAACATTAGCCTTGCTTTATCTGTGATATAAATCACAATACAAATGGAAATTCTTTCTGGCTCCAGGTTGAAGACAGTGATGTGAAACTCTCTGAAAAGGCACAGCACGTGTTGAAGGTAAAATGAAACATTTTTGTTAAACCAAAAAAGTTCCACTTTTGTGCAAAAAAACTGAGCTCCTACCAAACTGTCTTTTATTTTGTGTGTTATTTCTCTCCTACAGGGCTTGCCTGTTCTTTGAAACTCTGACCTATAAAAAGTACATTGTGTGTGTAAAAGTTGGAGGGTTTCTTTCTGTCAGAGAAGGACAAACCCCAAGGGCAAAAAAGAGCTCTAATAAAGCTACAAATTCATGGAAGTCTCACTCAACGTTACTCCTGGAGCTCATGTGTTCCCAAAAACCCCCACAACTCAATGCCACTCTACATACAAACTTTCTTTTAACTTAATTAGCCTGCTAAATGTCTAAAGGAAAACACTCCGGAAAGAAAAAGGCCTTTGGAATCTGGGAACATCTTAAATCACATGAGTTTCACATTTGTGGTTGAATTTGCGGTTCCCTGGAATGTTCATTATAAGTAGATTCATTTTCCTCTCCTGTCCTTTTAGCTCAGGGGATTGACAAACTGCAAACAAAAAAAAGCTCTGCCCTGTGGTTGTGACAATGACTTGGAACTTCACAGCTGCTGGCAAAGCCAAAATAGGGGGGAAGGCTTTTCCAAACCATCCTGCCACTGACCCTGCTGGATGGATCCAGGATAAAACTCTTCATTTTATAAACTTCTGAGGGATGCTGTTTAAAGGAAAAACCTTCCCTCTTGGAGCAAACACATGAGAAAATGTCCTGGTCCTTGATCCAGCCTGTGATGTTTCTGTTTGTTTGTTCCTGTTCAGGAGGATAAATCTTTCCTGGGCACTTTACTCACTGGAGGGGATGGAGTGTATCTTTGTTCCAGCAATCCACAGGCCATGCCTGCAGAAGGTGAGATGTGCTTGGGGGTTGTTTTTTTGCTTGGGTTTTTTTTTTTCTTTTTTTAGGTTTTTTTTTTTTTTTTAAACAAAAGAGACACATTTTCTGGTGAGCCAAACTACACCATCACCTTAAGCTTTCTTTCCATTTGCCTTTACATCTCTCTGCTCTTAAATTCCATCTGTTGTTCTGTTTATCCCCAGCCTCTGCTTGAAGCTCCTAATCCTGGAAGGAGGATTCCTCTAGGCTTGCTTTGGATGGACAGTGAGGCTTTGCAGACCTGGGAGATGCCTTTTTTTCAAAACATGCCCAAAATGATTGTTTCTGGCCTTAATAGATGATGTGCCAGATGTTTCCTGCCTTTTCTGTATCTATATGAACATGAGGTTGGAAAGATTGGGCATTACAGTGCTTCCAGCTCTGGAAGTGAAGGCAAATATGGACCTTTACACTGCCTCTGATGTAGGAGGGGATGTTATAAACTGATTTACAGCCTCGTATTTGCCTCCACCAAAAGCTCTTCCCGGAGCTAATGTGCTGTTCCCACTTTTTCCGTTTCTGTTTTCACTCAGGAATTCAGTGTTTCCAAGCACAGGTTCTCACTGTGCTACAGGAAGATGCTTGATCTTGTTTCTTCTCAGATTCAATCCAGTTACTGCTTTCTGACACAAAATTACTCACAGGAATCTTGGATTATTCCTCCTCTTTTGGCACCTGTTCCTTCAAGAACTTAAGGGAGCGTGAATATCCCAGTAAAGCAACTACAGACAATTTGGGTTGCTGGGAAGGTTTTCCCTCACTTCCCTCACTCCCTCCCTTGTGCCTTGAACCAACAGATATTTTTAAGGCCTGATATTTGATATTCCAATGTACAGAGAATGTGCAGTTGTGTCAGTGCTGATGTACAACAGAGATGATGAATATCTGACATGAAGTTCTCAGCACGAGCTGATGATCTTCAGAGGAGAATTTTCAGCTTTGTACTTATGCCATGTGGTGTCCAGGATAAATAATGAGGTACAAGGCAATTAAAAAGCAACTGTCACTTAGAGGAATCTGCTTTTGCTCCAGCTGACCAGATTTTAAAGCAAAAATCATCATGCAGAATATGATATTTAGCTGTTTTGCTGTGGGCACTTGTTCACTCAGTAAATAACGAGATAACGGTGGCATTTTTTTGGCTCTGTTAAAATTTGCTGTTTGTGCCCCAGTGGAGCAATTTACTTATTCCCTTTTTTTTTTTTTTTTTTTTGAGGGTGGGGGGAGATTTATGGAGGTAAATGTCTTGATAACTTGTGGGTTGGAGAGTTCCAATGGATGGTATCAGGACCGTTGTGTGAGTGAGGGGTTATGTCAGTGGGTGAGGGATTTTCTTGGCTCTCAAGTGAAAATGAAGTTGAACTGGTTCCCTTTTTGTTGTGCTCAAATTTGGGCTCTGCTGAGATTGCAGCTCTGTGGTCTGGGTACAAAAGGTGCATAAAATCATGGAATGGTTTGGGTGGGAAGGGACCTTAAAGCCCATCCAGTCCCACCCCCTGCCATGGGCAGTGACACCTCCCACTAGCCCAGGTTGCTCCAACCTGGCCTTGGACACTTGCAGGGATCCAGGGGCAGCCACAGCTTCTCTGGGAAATTTATTCCAGTTTCTTACCACCCTCGCTGGGAAGGATTTCTTTCCAATATCCAACCTAAATCTTCACTTTTCCAGTGGGAAGCCATTCCCTGTGTCCTGTCCCTCCATGCCTTGTCCCCAGTCCCTCTCCAGCTCTCCTGGAGCCCCTTTAGACCCTGCCAGGGGCTCTCAGCTCTCCCTGGAGCCTTCTCTTCTCCAGGGGAACCCCCCCAGCTCTCCCAGCCTGGCTCCAGAGCAGAGGGGCTCCAGAATCCTGGAATGGTTTGAGTTGGGACTGTCAATCCTGCTGATTCCACCCCCTGCCATGGGCAGGGACACCTTCCACTAGCCCAGGTTGCTCCAACCTGGCCTTGGACACTTCCAGGGATCCAGGGGCAGCCACAGCTTCTCTGGGCAACCTGGGACAGGGCCTCCCCACCCTCCCAGCCAGGAATTCCTTCCCAATATCCCATCTATCCCTGCCCTTCTTCAGCTTAAGGCCATTTTCATTAAAACAAAACCTTAATACTGAACAACTTTGAAGATCTCATCCCGAGCTGCCATCCCAAGAGGAAAACATCTTCAATTCTTTATTATTTCCTCCCAGCCTTGTTCTGGGAGCTGTGCAGGCACTTTCAGCCATATATTTTAGTTACTTTGATTTTTTTTTTTTTGAAATGTAACCGAGCAAAACCTGTTTATTTTTTCCTGTTTTCTTTAAAGAAAATATTTAACTTTTCCCTTTTGCTGACTCACAAACTTCCCTATGTGGGATGTGATGCTGCTTTTAAATGCAGAGGGCCAGCTGGCAGCCCCTGCTCAGACATTTGTTCGTGGCTTTCTGAAGCCTGTCAGAAATCAGCTGTTTGCTGATACCAGTTTCTAACACTTTGATGGAATTTTCTTTTATCCATTACCCCACCCAGCCTTGTTGTTTCTCATTTCCAGCTGCTCTCCTTCATGCAGGTTTGTTAAGAACCAAAATTTAAATGTTATAAATGCTGAAGCGGAATATTTAGACATTGTTTCAATTTTAAAATTAACTTTTCAATTTAAATTCCAAGTTAATTTTTTATTTAAAATTTAATTTTTTAGTTAATTTTGTCCCTCTAAATCAAATTTAAACAGTGTTTGATTTTGCCACTTAATTTGTTCATTGTTTAAATTTTGTGTTATTTGGGATGTAAGCTTTTCTTAAATTCTTGTGTTGTCAGTCTTATATTTCTGGAAGTTTGAAATTCAACAGGATGAAATTTTTTTAGCTTTTAAAGAAAAAAAAACACCTCAGAATATTTATGATAAAGAGGCTCCGAGGGGGGGGGTAAAATGAAGCCAAATGCAATCATAGTGATATATAAAAACCAAAATCCTGCAGGAACATGGATTTCTTTTTTTCCCCAGAAAGGAATGACATTCATCACAAGGTGCTGAAATATTGATATATAACTAATATAAATCCTTTTCCTCTCAAACTGTAGGTAAACTGTACTTCTTTTCTGATGGCATCCTCTTTGCTCATCCCCACCACGGCAGCATTTCCATTTCCAAGAGCCACATGAGTTCCATCTCCCTCTATGATGGGGTGAGTGTTTGCTCTGGTTTTACTGCCATCAACTTTTTAGCAATCTTTAACAATAATTCTCCTGCAAAATCTCTGTTTCAGCCCCATTTCTTATTTCAGTTTTGACCTGTGTCTGTACAGCTGTAATAACTGATGCAAATCCCCACACTTGTGGTGCTGCTTGACTTAACAAACCAGTGATTAGTGAGTAAAGAGGAGGGAGTTTTGTGTTAATCTGGGTGAGCAGTTTGGTGTTAATAGTGTGAAAATTGCTTTTGATTAAAGGAAAAATTGCAGAGCGTGACATTCATGAAACATCCACCAGTGTGGAGGGATGGACAGAGGAAAGGTCGACGTGTTCTGGTGTCGTGTGGTGTTTGGGAGGGTGAAATGCTGCCTTTTATTCACATTATGTTCTAATATTACTTGTTGTGGCTCAGTGGGAACTGAGAGGTCCGTGGTGGCAGCTCAGCTGATTTTTCCTGCTCAAGGCAGACACTCTGGGTTTAACTATCACTTCTTCAGAGTGCAAAAGAGATTATTTGGGTTGCTTACTGTTTCCTAAAGTGAGGAAAATCCCAATTTCCTTTAGTTTCTCTTTTGTTCAGGTACCTCCATGTATGATTCCATCCTCTAATCCAGGAAAGCAGTGAAACACGACCCCAGTGTGTGATCCAACTGAGATGCAAACACATCCCAGCCCAGGGAATCTCACCTGAGCTGCCTTTCCTTGGACATCACAAGCTGCCCCTTGTAGTTAAAGAAGCTATTTTAACACTGACCTTCCTTCTATTGTTTGAGTCAAGACACTCACTTTCAGAAAGCTTCCTATTTCTGGGACCTGGCCATCCCTGCTGAACTGGTGCCAGATTTTTGTGTGAGGCTGAGCCTTGACAGAGAGAATATTATTGTTCTACTGACTTGGCATAATGGAAGGGTGGAGGGTTTGGACTGCTCAGAAGAGACAGGAGAAGCAGGGTAATTGTTACTTCCTTTTTTCCAAGAGTTACTGCAACAGTATTAATGGAAAAAGAAAGGATAATTTAATGCTGGGATTCAAATAAAAGGTACAGAGGCTTGAAGTGATGCAAAGTGCAGGTTTTTAGCAGCTCTGTCACCATGTTCTGCTTTTTAACTTGAAAATAGCTGCACTTTTGCTTCAACACAAAGAAACTGGGCACAGAGCTGCTCCTGAGCTCCTGAAATCCTAGAGGCTCATGGACATGGATACAGAGTGGATTTTGGCCATTCATCAGCAAATGTTACCAAGCAATATTTAGATTTCACACCATTAACATCTTGTAAAACTTGGAACCTGATCCTTTTAACATCATGTCCCTGGGGATATTTGCTGCTGCTTTTCAGCTTTTTTCAATTTTGTGGAACCCCAGATGTTTTCCAGGAGGAGGAGCACATTTGTTGGACACTTCACAGGTGTATGAGTTGGCCTTTCAGCCCCATCCCAGGAAACCTCTGGGCCATCCTGCAGAATCCAGGATCTGTGGGTTCTTAGTCCCAAAAACCATTTTCTCTTAGGAGAAATTGTTCTCTCTTAGGAGAATATTTTTTGTATGTTCCTCACTCACCTCAGTGACTTTGAGAGGATTATTTTTATAATTAATCCCTCAGTCAGCAAAGCATGAAGATTCTGTTTGCAAATGTCTCTGAATTGATACCAGTTCTTATGTAACAGTTCCCCAACTTGAGCTTTTTCTTCTCAAGAATTAGTACATTGAGTTCCTTGCCCAGTTCTGTTGACAGGGAGGTAGATGACATTCACTTTCTGGTTTGAACCCTAAGGCATGGAATCCCTGTTTCCCAGGGATGTTTCATGCTGGCAAATTGTCCTGATTTTCTAATACTTGGGTGTGAAAAGAGTTAGAGGTCAAAACTTGAGCCCGACTTGAAATCCAGAATCGTGGAAATGGTTTGGGTTGGAAGGGACCTTTAAAGCTCATCCAGTTCTAACCCCCTGCCATGGGCAGGGACACCTTCCACTATCCCAGGTTGCTCCAAGCCCTCTCCAACCTGGCCTTGGACACTTCCAGGGATGGGGCCTCTAATCTGGGAAAAACAAACAGAAAAACAACCCCCAAAAAATCAAGGGTCAGTGTTTTATAGAACAAAAATCAGACAACCTGAGTTCAGTGCTTCTGAGGGAGACACAACTTGTGGGCTTCAGGTGAAGACAATTCAGATCAAAAAAGCAAGAAATTTAGTAGAACTTGTGCTCAGTGAAGAATCTGAGAGAAAAGGGGCACTTCCAGCATGCAAGTGAGCTGCACTTTGAATGACAGGCCTCAGAGTTGGGTCTTGTGCCAGAACGGCTCCTGTCAGGTCAGAAACTCAAGAGCGTGGTGCAGAAAGTTTGCAATAGCACCAAACTTCCAATCTTTTTAGTTATTTTGAGGCATTTAAGTCATTTTAGGTGGCATTTCATTCGTTCTCCATGTGGTGTCTGTGTCAGAGGTGTGTGGGTGTGGATGAAGAAGAGTTTGTTGGGAAGCATTGACAGAAGAAAGGTCTATTTTTTTTTGAAGGGGGGAAGAGCAGATATTAAAATACAAACTTTTCTTTTCAAGACAAGACAAAACTTAGGTGTTTAGAAGCATCTCAAATCCTTTATTTTAAGCTTCTGATATCTCCAGGAGCTGCAGAGTAGGAATTCAGGGGGGCTGTAAGTGGCTTCAGTTGACCCTTGTGCTCCATCCCTGTGCCATGGAAACTCAGGAATGCCCAGCTCTTTATGCCTGGGAGTGACTGTAACAGGTTTTTTTTTCTCATCTCTGCTGTTTAATGCCTGAAGCCTTTTTTTCACTTTCAAGAACTGTTAATGGTAACTTGTCCTGTTTTTCCCATTTCTAGGATTCGAACAGTGTTGTTGCTGCTCTCTTCATAGACTTCAAAAGTTCCCTGCTTCCTCACCTCCCAGTTGAATTCCATACCCAGAACAACTTTCTGATGATTGCACTTTTCCCCAAAAGAAAGATTTATAAAGCTTTTTACTCACAGGTAAAGGAAAAAAAAAAAAAGATTGGTAAGCTTTTCTTAAGTTCTTGTGTTGTCAGTCTTATATTTCTGGAAGTTTGAAATTCAACGGGATGAAATTTTTTTAGCTTTTAAAGAAAAAAAACCACCTCAGAATATTTATGATAAAGAGGCTCCAGGGGGTAAAATGAAGCCAAATGCAATTGTAGTGATATATAAAATAATATATAACTTATGGGGAACCCCATAATTACCATGTTTAAGAGGAGACACAAGGGTGAGTTTGGTGCCTGTATTAACTAAGTTTGAGAGAAGGAGTTTATGTCTCACATAAATTGAGCCACTAAAGCTTGTTGCCTGAGGAGTAAATACAGGAAGAGTTAAAATTGAAGGCTTTTCTTTCATCAGTCTTCACAAACAAAACCTATAAAACCTATAGAACCTATAAAATCTGCTGCTTTGGGATCTCCAGAGTCTTTCTTCCAACTGGGAACTCTGATTCTTTGTGTGACCTGTGGCATCTGCCTTGCAAACTCAAGCTTATCAAGGACTAGACCTTCCCAGGAGTGTTATTGCTCCTGAGCTCAGGAACTTGCACGTGTGAGAAGCCTGAAATTCTGTCTGAGTTTCTAGGGTGGGTGGTGTTTGTGCAGTTTAATGCTCCCCATGTGCTTCCCTTTGCCTGCTCCAAGAGCTCCTTTCCTGGGAGCTGCTTTTCCATGTTGGCTGCAGCAATTCCAGGGAGTGGCAGAGGTTCTATTGTGTGGGTTTTGTTTTTTTTTTTTTTGTGGTCAGACACGTTGGGATCCTGGTTCTTAGGGAAGTTCTGTGGAAGGCTTTAAGTCTCCCATATGGCATTGTGTTATTCCCTAAATGGATTGGCTTCATTCAGAGTCCTGCAGAGGCTTTTAATAAACCCAGCTTTGGAACAATGGTGCTTTTGAGGAAACGAGCCTGGAGATTTTAGGACTTCACAAGGGCTTTTTAGGATGTGATCATCACACTGGACTGGGAGAGACCACCTAGCTCAGTGAGTAGTCCCCACTGGAAGTATTAATGGCACCATAAAATGTCCCCTGCTTTTATCTTAAGTGTTTAAATTCTTCCCACTGTTCCACTCTGTGAATGGTTGGGAATCTGTTTGTTTGGTTTGGGATTTTCAGCCTATTTTATGAGCTCTGCTTTTATATCTGTTTTATTTTTCTCTCCTCTCCCAGCACACACCCTTGAGATATCCAGAAATTTCAGACCTATTCTTTCTGCCTTCTTTGGCCTAATAAAATAAAACCAGATCCTTTTTAATCTGTGCCTATAAAAAGTTCTCTTTTCTTCTGAACGTTGTAGTGCTTTTCTTTTGATCTTTTTTTTTTGGCTGTAGACATCCAAACTGTGTGCAGTGTGTGAGATCACAGAATCATAGCTGAGGGGGTTTGTTTCCTGTTCAGAGGCATTAACAATTCCCTGCTCTGAAAATGTTCTGAGGTCCCCTTGGTTTGCCTTTACTTTTCACTGCTGCCTTGGATTCACAGATTCACAGATTCACAGACCTTCAGGTCCTTCCTCTCTTGCAGCTGATTTTAGAAACATTCCTTCCTTTCATGCTTACCTTCCTCTTATTTTTCCTTCCATTTCCTCCCAGAATGTTTCTTGCATTCTTAAATTTACTTTTCTATGAGGCATCTCCCAGCTTAGCTCCCCAAAATGCTCTCAGTTCACTTCAGCCTCCCAAATTCATTGCAAAGGATATCCCAGGGCATTCCCTAAAGAACTCTGCTGCTGGACTTCTCCAGCCTCTGCTGCTTTTTCTGGGAGCTGTTTATCCCTGTCCTCCTTTGAATTCACTTTTTTTGCCACACAGGGGTTCAATTTCTGCAGTTGGAGTTTCTCATCTGGCCCCACACTGAGTTGCTTTGCTAAAATTCAAGTCAATAAAACAAATCCTTTTGTCTTAAAGATGTTCCCTCCTGAATAAAAACTCTCCATCAGGTGGAGTGCCCCCAACTGTGTGAGCCTTGGAAACTCCTTATTGTGGTTTGTCAGTATTTACCTTCAGGTTTTTATTGATTTGCACCAAAATTCTTTCTATAAATCCACGTGCCCTTGAAGTCTCACAGATCACAGGGATTCACTAAGATGGAGGTGCTGGTTTTGCTCTTCTAAATCATCATACCTCACTTCCTGGACCTGTGCTTGGATTATTCCAAGCTTCCTGGAAACAGGGAATGGCAGTTACCTGGTCCTGCAGACCTGGGTTTATTCAAAACTGAGGTGGTGGCAGGATTTTGAGCACACAGAGCTGAAACCTGGATTTTTATAAACCCTTTGAAAATGGGACAAAACCTTTCACATCCTCCCTCTGATGGGCAAGGGAGGAGGATTTGTTCAGGCTTTGGGATGTGTTGATTTCCCTTGTTTTCCTCCACCTTCTCTAAAGCCACAGCAGCTCTTTTGCCTGACCTGTGTTTTCACTTCATCCCCAGCCCTTTTCCTCCTCCAGAACACAATTTTCCCTTCTTCCCATCCCTTCCAGGCATTTCTTTTAGTCTCTCCTACATCTTTTGAAGTGGCTGGGTTGTTTTTTTTTTTGGTTGCCTGGATCTTTCTGCACGGGCAATATTGCCTTTGTTAAGATCAGAAAGATCTTTTATTCTGATGGGTTTTTATCTCCTACCCTGGTGTTTGGGATGCTGATTTGTTAATGGGAAGCAGTTGTCTCCCCTCCAAGTTGTTTTGTCTCGCAGAAAGTTATTGTGAGAAATGACAATGGCTGTTGTTGCCTTTTTCCTTAGGAAAAGAAGGGAAATACCGAGCACTGACTGTGTTGATTCATCTGAATCTGATTTCTAGGTTCACAGTGCCAGTCAGATTAATGTGCCTTGGCTGGAGCAATGGGATGGGAGCCAAAACATCACTCCCTGGAGGAATGAAGGGCTCCCTTTGCTTTTGGGAAGGAGCAGAGTTTTTCTCAAATGTCTACAAATGTTTGCTGCAGTCTTACCTCATGAAAATAGGACTTAAAAGAGACTTGAATTAATTCAATTCTTGCTGTTCAGCACTTGGGTTATAAACACCTACATTTTTATCAGGGAAAACTAAAGTGTTTCAGTGAAGTTACTTCTTGAAGCAGTTCCAGCCCAGCCACAGAGGTCACAAAATCTGATCTGTGGAGACTTTTGCCATCCTTTGAATTCATGGAATGGTTTGGGTTGGAAGGGACCTTAAAGATCATCTCATTCCATCCCCTGCCACGGGCAGGGACACCTTCCACTAGGCCAGGTTGCTCCAAGCCCCATCCAACCTGGCCTTGGACACTTCCAGGGATCCAGGGGCAGCCACAGCTTCTCTGGGCAATTCTTGCAGCAAACCCATTATTGTGCAGTATTTGATGGCCAGTGAAAATGTGAGCAAAAGCAATCCCTGAACAAATGGAAAGCAAATTTGGGACAATAACGATGCTCATGCCCAGCTCTGCTTTGCTCCAGGTTTTCTCCTCGTGGCAAAACCAGACAAGCTCAGGATTATCTTTAAGGGTTGTCCAGGAAGAATTCCTGTCTGTGGAACAAAAGAGAATGTAAGTTGATGCCAGTGCAGTGCAATTCCACATAAACTGTGTGCTACAGTCAGAAAAATGCTGGTACTCATTGATTTGGATAAAAATTAAAAAAAGAATCGTTGCCTGCTTAATGCAACACTCACTTTATTTTTTTTTGTACTATTTAACACTACAGCCATGTGGTTTAAAGAACATCAATGTTTAGCTTTCTCCTTTAACTAATTAATGAATTAATTTGCTTCTTTTAGGCATTCCAGTGTTCAGAAGCTCTTCAATGCCTTGTCTTTTCCTTCTGGGGAAAGATGCAGGGAGCTGAAATTATCCTCTGCCCTTCCAGAATTGGAGAGGTGAGAAGTTATTTTTGTGTTCTGGGGCTGAGTTTTGTCAGAAACGATACCAAATTATTTTAGTACGTGTAGTCATCTAAAAATTGCCTATTGAATGATTCTTAAATCATTCTGTTGTGAGATGAATTCTTTCCTCCCTAGTTTGACCTTTGGATAATCTTATTTTAGCGATTTCCCGGCTGTTTTTACGAATGAAATCTTTTGCTCGTGGTTGTAAAGAAAATAAAACCTTTTATTTTCACAAGGTTTGTGAGACATTTCACCATCAGCAGCGTCAGCAACAAGCCAGTGGTGAGGGCACATCTCCCTGTTTTGTTGCAACAGTCAGAAACCACTCCTGAGAGCAAAGCAGAGAGTGAGAAGGTGAGGACAATAATAATAATAATAATAATAATAATAATAATAATAATAATAATAATAATAATAATAATAATAATAATAATATTCATAATAATATTCATAATAATAATTCAATATTAACTCAACAATAATTCCTAGTGTAGAATATTTAATAAATGTTGCCATTAGTGTAATAAAAGCACTGCTGGATGTCCAGCCATGCTCTGCCTCCTCCTCCAGCACCACCAGCTCCCACTGAACTGGTTTCTTAGAATAAGAATAATTTTCCTGGTTACATATTTAGTTTCTTTTCCCACTTAAACAAACTTTTAGAAGTACAAATGGCTTCTCAGGCTTCTGAAATAGAGGCAGAAAATGAGGTGTAAATCTTCAAGTTTTCTCTTCTGTCCAGAGAGACTTGGCCCTAAAGCAGCAGCTTGTTTTTATGAATTGCTGCATAATTTAACTGAATTGTTCTCTGGAACATAAAAGTCCTTTAAATAGCATGGAGGGAGCACATGATATTTAACATTTGCTGATATTATCTGTAGAACACTCCTTTCTCTATAGGGGCAGTAACAATTGGTCAACTTAAGGCCTGCTTTAAATAGCATTTTCAGAGAAAATATTTCCTTGTAACTTCCCAGCATTTGAAACCTGCTGAAAGCAACCAAGTCAAAGCAGCAGGAATATAATTCTCTTGGAATATTACAGTGTGGTGGCACTCATTTCCTGGGATCTGCTTCAGAGACCCCACTGACACTTAATTCATAAACACTTGGGAATGATTTTAAATCTGATTTTAAGGGTGGTTTAACTGTGTGTGTTTAAAAAAGAAAGAAAAATGTGTTTGAATGTGCCCTTTCCATCATAAAAACAAACTATTTGGTGTCTTTTCCAGTGTTTCTGTGGTTACTGTCACTTCATTTTGTGTTTAGACTTAAGACTTTATCAAAGTAGAAGCCTTGGGGGTGTTTAATTGTTGTAGCTCACTGCTAATGTTGGAGTTGTCCCCTTCTTCCCTGTTCCCTGTTTTCCAGGTGATCATCACCATCCTCACTGGGCTCCCAGGGTGTCGTTCCAGTGATCTCTGTGCTTTCCTCGTCACCTTTACCAAGGAGTATGGAAGGTTTGTGCAGCCCTGGTTATATTAATCACCAAAAACCAACCTGCCATGATTAAATTATCCCTGTTTAATTGTTATTTTTAAACCTCGTTTCTAATTTGTAAAGAGAAGTGTTATAAGAACAAAGTCAATAAATATTTTTGAGGTCTCATAGGGTCTGTTACTTCACTTTTATGACTTCAGGTATCTCACTTAACTGTGTTTCCAGGTAGATTTGCCCTTCAATTTTAGATATTCAGACAGAAGAAATAGCCCAGGAGGTTTCTTTGTTGCTGTTCCATGTTAGGAAAACCACAGGAATCCCTGCAGATCTCACTTGTACCTGGAATCCACTGAGGTTACAACAGTCAGGAATAATCTCAGAAGGGCCAAATGAATCCTGCCTTAAGCAAGGATAGAAGGTGCCACAACCTGAAGGAAATGAGTGAAGAGCTTCCTTTTTTGGGGCAAACACTCTCCTGACAATCCTTGTTTTTAATGTGACCTGATTTCTATTCTGCAGGAGCAGGAGGTGCATTCAACACATTATTTTGTGGCAATAAGATAAATCTACAGGAGGAATTTTTTCATTCTGTGTGTTGATAGAGCTTCTGAAAAATCAAAAGAAACAATTGTTATCCTTTTAAAACTTGCAGCCAAACACCTCAGCATTTCATCTTAGTCATGTTCTGCATGTTTTTCACTTTTAACTCAGCTTCTTGATATTATCAAGTTGATTCAGGGGAGTTTTGTGGTTTTGTTATAGGGCAAGGTGACTTTTGAAGGTTGTGTAATAACACATTTCCTCACGTTTCCTGCAAATGTCAGTGCTGTTTTCCATTTTTGCAGTGAAATATTTTCATGCCCAGAGTCTTTTGAATTGAATTTGTATCATTTTTGATGTTTACTGCATCACTGACAGTGATCACAGTTACTGCTGTGATGCACAGCTTTGGAAAAAAAAGCTGTTCAACATTGTTTTGTTAAAAAAACCAACCAAACAAACAAAAAAAACCCTTGTGCCACTAATGTAAAGAATGTGCCTGTGCTGGAAAGGACAGAAAGCCAAGTAAATCCCCCTTTCCCACGTGGTCAAGTGGAATGAGCTGATGATGGGATGGTGAGAGATGTGGAATCTTGGGGTTGTCAGATTTATTTTAAGCCTGTTGATCCAAAATAAAAAGAGAACAGAAATGTTATGTCACGGAACGTGAACCCCTTTCCTTGTTTGCTGTTGTTTAGGTGGATTGTTTATAGGCAAACCATGGATAGTCCAGAATGTTTCAGTGCCACCCACTTCCAGAGGTACCTGTCCGGGGTCCTGGAGGCTCAGCAGAACCTGGGGGGCCGTCAGTCCATGTTCTCCAAAAAGAACAGGAGGCTCCTGGTGGTCCTGCAGGGGTAAGTGTTACAAACTCTGGGAATGTTGCAGAGAATAAGGGATTTTTCCCAGGCATTTTTAGACTTTCCCTTTAAAATTCTGAGCTCCAGTGTGGCACCCTGGGAATTCTGTTTTATGTGTGTACTAAACTCAGCTTTTCTGCACCTCTTGATGTTATTGGTAGTTGCTCCTTTGGAAGGAGTGTCCATGGGATTCCTTCAGTCATATGGAAGCAATGGGCACTCACAGCCCAGATCCCCCTGTGCCCTGGGCTGATCCCCCAGCGTGGGCAGCAGGGCAGGGGGAGATTCTACCCCTCTGCCCCTGTCTCAGGTGAGACCCCCCTGCAGAGCTGCTCCAGCCCTGGGAACAACAGCACAAGGACGTGGAGCTGCTGCAGAGAGTCCAGAGGAGGCCCCAGAAATGCTGCCAGGGCTGGAACCCCTCTGCTCTGGAGCCAGGCTGGGAGAGCTGGGGGGGTTCCCCCGGAGAAGAGAAGGCTCCAGGGAGAGCTGAGAGCCCCTGGCAGGGCCTAAAGGGGCTCCAGGAGAGCTGGAGAGGGACTGGGGACAAGGGAGGGAGGGACAGGACAAAGGGTGATGGTTTTAAACTGAAAGAGGCTCAATTTAGACTGGACATAAGGGAGAAGTTTTTTACAATGAAGGTGGGGAGGCCCTGGCCCAGGTTGGGCAGAGAAGCTGTGGCTGCCCCTGGATCCCTGGAAGTGTCCAAGACCAGGTTGGAGCAACCTGGGCTGGTGGAAGGTGTCCCTGCCCATGGCAGGGGGTGGGACTGGATGATCTTTAAGGTCCCTTCCAACCCAAACCATCCTGTGATTCCATGGCTGTGCCCTCTGCCAGCACAGATCAGGGCTGTCAGAACTCTTTGCCTGATGAAAGAGGTGATACTGGAGTAACACTTATTAACATGTTTCTGAGAAATGCCAGTTTTCTTGTGGAATAAAGGTGAAGACTCTGAGCCACCTCTGTTTGACATTTCCATCTCCAGGGTAGCATTTGAGAACCAGGATCACCTGCAGCAAGTTTTCCCCCTCTCTTTCTGAGTCATTAGAAGGTGACACAAACTGACCAACACACCCTGACCTGACTGGAATGGTTTTGCTTCCCAGGATTCAAAGTGTTCATCTTTTCACTACATGGAGCTCAGCATTTTCTTCATTATAAACCATTCTGATAGTGCTAAAAATCATCCTTTTTTTTTCCATTTAGAACCACATTTACATTTTTTTTTTACTCAGAGTGGTGTAAAGTCCAGCAATGTGCAAAATAACTGATATTCTGTAGCAGCAGTGGCTTCAGGAACAGCTAATTGGAGGTTTTCCATCCTTTCTGGATAGCTGGATATTGGTACAGACAGCTCTAGAGTAGCTGGAATTCTCTAAATAATCCATTAACTTGCTAAGTGACAGCACAGTTTTGAGAGAAGGTTGTGACTGGCTGAGAAATAAACACCTGGAATTAAAACTCAGGTTCACTTAAACTTTGTGATCACACAGATATAAGACCCAGCAGTGTCTGGAGCAGTGAATAAGAAATAAACTCATTGATTATATTAATAAACACATTAATTACAGAAGCATATTTAAATTGAGATGCTGATAAGTGAGAGGGTGTTGCTTTTTTATTTATTTTTTTTTTTTTAGATTTGAATTGTGTTTAATATGCTTGGCATTAGGTATAACTTATTTTTGTTGTATTATGCTTTTTGTGCTTCCTGAAAGCTGGACTTTTTATCCTGCTTTTCTCTCTGTGTTGTCAATAATTATTTTTAAGGTAACTCTCAATCAGCTCCATTTGTCTGGATTGGCTTAAATTGGATTTGCCAAGTTTTGAGCTGCTTTCTCACTATTCAATGGGCTTTTTTAGGACTCCAACCTTCTTGCAAGTGATGGATTTCTTCCTAAATGGTGGAATGTGCCCTTCTGTTTCTCTAAAACCATATTTCATTCTCTTTTCTTACAGATACACTGACGTTATTGATGTTGTACAAGCTCTGCAGACTCACCCTGACCCAGATGTGAAATCTTCCTTCCTCATTGGAGCAGTGAACACCTGTGTGGAGCCCCTGAGCTGCTACATGGAGCACAGGTATGCTTTAAAATATATTTACTAGTTTAAAAGCAGATATGTGTGTTTATAAGACCACTTTTATAATAATTAGGGATATATGATGGTTAAATGCCAGTGAAGTGTCTTAAATCTCACAAAACTTGGAAGTGCTCTTTGATTTATCAGGATGGCACTTGGTTTCCACAAGGTGTAGAATTGTATATTATATTAATGGAAGTTTAGCTTCTGGAAGAACAAACTAAATCTGCTTAAATACATAAGTCTAGGTAAGGACTTTGTATAATTTGGACAGCCCCCTGTCCCTCTAAATCATTTTATTTCTTGCAACCCTTTTTGGAATTTGGACTGAAAATTGAGACGTTCATCTGGGTTTGGGTTATTGATCCTGTCACTGCTTTGGGCCGTTAAAAGAAAGACTTTGCAGCCTTTAAATGTGGAACTGAAGGGAAGCAATCCCAAATTCAGTGGAAGGGAATGACAAAACACGGAAGCCAAAGCATTGCAAGTGTTAAAACCTGATATCCTGGGTCACTGCAGAGCCAGGGTGGGGAGGAAACGCTCGCCAAGCCGAGTCGGTGACATTTGAAAACACTGTGCCTTGGTTGCTGTTTCATAGTAGATGTGTGTGCTCCAGACTTCAGCAAACGTGGGAATCATTTCTTAGATTTATCTGTGAAATTGTAACACTCCCATTTCTTAATTATGCCTTGCAGCTGAGTTGATCAAAGTAAGTCAAAGCAAGTTAGAGTGTTCGGAGTTGTTAGCGTCGCTTCTGTTTGTGAGCCAACTCTGTGCACCACAGCTTAGAGCTGAACTGCCCAAGCAGTTTAATAAAAGTGCATTCCTGAGATTTCCTGGCTGTTCTTAACCACTAACCACTGTGCTGCTTGTGCTTTGCAGTAGTCAATAAATAGACCTTATCTTGCTGCTTCTTCTTGTCTCCGTGACAAAGGTCGTCAAGAAATAATAAAACTCACGTAAACTCCTGGGGATTTGATGCTGGAGTGCTGCTTTAAACTTGTGCTTTCCATGTTTTGAGGAAAGACAAGTTCCATTTCTTCTTGGTTTTAACTCACTAACGTGTCACTAGCCCTGGTCCTGAGTAGCATTTAGAGCAGCCCAGCCTGCAGTGCTTTAACCAGCAGAGTTTTGTCTCCTCAAGTGCAGGAGCAGTTGAAGGAAGGGGCTCAGCCTGGGCTGTGGGTCGTTTATGTCTTGCTTTGAAGTTTGTTCTGATCAGAATTTACCAAGTAGTGCCAGTGGCAGCTCTTGCAGTTGGGCAGCTTTGGTGATTTCACTGTGGGAATGCACAAGAGTGGGTTCAGTGTTTGGCTTGAAACTTTTGCAGTCGAGAAAATCAAACCCCTTTCCTGCCTCAGAGTTCATTCCTGTAGAGATCCAGCTCTTCCTTGAGCCTGGGATGGAGCTTTTCCCTTCAAAGCTTTCCCTAAAACTATCTTTGAATAGGAAACCAGAGCAGGGGGGAGAGGGAGTTGAAGTGGGACAGGTAAAATACTCTCTCTAGAGCTTTGTGTGCATGCTAAAGCTTTTAAATTATAAAAATAATGATAAAAATAATTGTCACTTGTCTGACACAGCACCAGAAATTGGCATCATTATTACAATCTTCCCATGAAGAGTTCCCACCATGCTTGGAAGGCAAAATTTTTTAAGACAAGCTTAAAATTCCTGTTGTTTAAATGGGAATTCTGGTGACATTGAAGCCTTTCTGACTCCCTGGAATACATAATGGATTGTGTGGTGGGAATTGGCTCTTAAATCCATTGGAGAATTAAAACCAGCTACAACACTAGTTCTTGGGGAAGAAATCCTGAGAGACACAACCTGTGGGGATGTTCCAGTTGTGTGGAGTGAGGAAAGGAAGCATGAAAATGGTTTGGTTAGTGAGATTGTAGCTGTCAGTGTCCAAACAAATGTACATGTTTTACTTAAATAACAATATCCATCCTTGATATACAAACTTTTTGGTTTTTTAGGCTTCTTTTTCCCAAGTTCTTGGACCAGTGTTCCCAAGGTAGGTGTCACTTTTCTTGACTTGGTGCTCTGCAGAACAAGCAGCTGAGCCATGTGGCCAAATGAATACCTTTATATTATATATTTCTGCTATAAATTCACGTAGCCAAAGGATCGTGATAAACTCTTGGAGAACAGACAATCTCTGCCTAAACTATCAAACATCACAGGCACCTGGAGAAGGTGGAAGATTCTGGAGTGTGGTCCCTTCCCACCCAAACCATTCCATGAATCTCTGGTTCTGTGGAATAACTTTTAAGTGCCAAGAGCAGAAGCAGATTTGACAGTTGTTCTTTTGTGCAGCTGATGCACAACATTAAGGCAGGACAGAACATTTCTTTTCAAGGTACCAGCTCTCTCTCCCTCTCAGCATAGAACACTTATTTTCAGGATGAAAATATGAAAATATCACTACTGGACTGGTAGAGAGATCAAGCCAGTAATGATATAGAAGCAAAATGACATTATTTATTAAAAGTAATTTAAAAAAAAAAAGTCCACAGGTAACTCAAATATATGCAGAGGTTTATGTATTTTGCTGTATTTTCTGAAGAAGAAACTCTAAGTTTAGATTTAGCTGTCCATATATATGTGTCTATATATGTAAATGTATACATACATATATATGTATATGTATATTTACATGTTTGTGTACATATATGTGTAAATATATATATGTGTATATACACACATATACATATATATATGTGTATTTATATACATATATAATTATATATGTATTTTTAAGTCACTGTTGTACTGCAGCTGGAAAGTATGTAGGTGCTGTTCTATAGATCATTGTTTTATTTTTATTTGGAGGAAAATGTTGGTGCTGCAAATTGGGGAAAACTGTCCTGATTATAACCATGGGGGAATTTGCAGAGGGAAGGAGAATATTAAGAATATAAAGAATTATCAGTAACTACAGAGAAGTTAAAAGTGCAAGCATGCCTTTTTGTATTGTGACAGAATAAAAAAGAAAAAGAAAAATAATAAATGAAAATAATAAAGCTATTTTTTTTTAAGTGATTTGTACAGACCTAATTAAGGGACAATTTGTCCTTGTCGAAGGAGGAACTAGAAAATGCTCAGGACAGGCACAGCTAATTTTCCTACAGTCAAAATACTGGAAAAAAAAATTACAAATGCTGGAGGTTAGAGGAATGTTCTACTGGCAGGGAATTATTTGTGCACATTGGAAAGTTTTGTCCTGTAGTTTTCAGGTACAGAATGTGACACTGGAGAGCTCTGAGGGCCCTGCGTGTGAAGAAATCGTTTCACATAAATAGGGGTGATTTTTTGTGCAGGAAGTTTTAGGGGGAGAAGTGTGTTTGGAACTGAGATGGGGGACACTCCAGCTTTCCAGAGCAATGCAGAACTGTGTCATGTGTGGTGCAGGGAATTTAGTTCTGTATCATTTATAGAGCCGTGGAATGGGTTGGGCTGGAAGGAACCTTAAGGATCACAGAGTTCCAACCCCCTGCCATGGGCAGGGACACCTTCCACTAGCCCAGCTTGCTCCAAGCCCCATCCAGCCTGGCTTTGGATACTTCCAGGGATCCAGGGGCAACCACAGCTTCTCTGGGAGAACTGAGATATCTCTCGACAGAGAGAATTCATGGTGATTGCACATAATTGAGAATTTAATTCTGGTGCAACAATAGCAAGATTTGCTGAGACATTCACTTTGAGAGATACTGTTCCTGCTTTTCCATAGGATATTCCATGATTCTGAGTTGGAAGGGACCCACAAGGACCATCCAGTCCAACTCCTGACCCTGCCCAGACACCCCAACAATCCCACCCTGCCCCTGAGAGCATTGTCCAAACCCTCCTGGAGCTCTGGCAGCCTTGGGGCTGTGCCCACTGCCCTGGGGAGCCTGGGCAGTGCCCAACCACCCTCTGGGGGAATTCTTGGGGTGTTGTGCACCCCAATATTGTTGTTTGTGTTCCTGTGTCAGCAGTGGGCCAAGGCAGTGTTGGGCATTGAACAAATCTGAACAGAAACTTGTAGGTGTTAAGGAAAACCAAGTGTGGGCATAGGCAAGTAGGAATGAGTCAGACCTTTGGATACCTACCTTGTCCACATAAGTATCTTGGAAAATTTGGGAGTGAGTAGGGTTTCCCTTGTGCTGCTGCTTTCCAGGTCTCTTCTGCTGTCACCTTTCTCTATAAGAAAGGGGTCCCTGTGCACATTATTGATGGGACATCATTTTCCATGAGTTACATTCCTGTTTGGAAAGCCCCAAGAGCAGCAGAGACAGATGAGGATGGGGGCAGACTGACAAAGCCTCCAGCAGAGTCACCAACAGGAGCAGTTTTGCTGTGCACCTTTGCTTCACCTTTTCCAAAAAAATCCTGCCATCATCTCTGTGCTGTTATTCCCTTTTATCTCTCCTTTCTTCCCTTTTTTAATTCTTTCCTTTCCTGCACAGAAGCTGTAACGTGACACTTTCCCAATCCGAGGGCACTTTGGCATCTCTTGTAAAACAGTTTCATATCCAACACAAATTAAGACATCACCATTGTTAAATATGCCCATTGTACATTTGGGAGCAAAGAGGCTCCATTATTTTCCTAAAGCATATGTATTTCTAATCCATCCCTCCTGTTTCTTTCCTGCTCCTATTGAACATGCTATTCCCCAGGCTGCAAGGAATTTTTTCTTTAGATCAGTGTATAAAGAATCAAACAAAACTGGGTGGTCTCCAAAATGCATCTCTTAGAAACAGGGATGGCAGTGACAGTTTTAATAGGAATGGTTTGGGTTGGAAGGGACCTCAAAGACCATCCCATTCCACCCCCTGCCATGGGCAGGGACACCTTCCACTAGTCCAGATTGCTCCAAGCCCTGTCCAACCTGGCTTTGGATGCTTCCAGGATGGGATTATGAGCTGATTCATACTTTCTCTTATTCATACTTCATCTTATTCACACTTTTCATCTTAATTGCATGATTAATATCCCCAAACTTGATATCATTTCAAACCTGCACATAACTTAAATTTTGAATCATACTTGCTGTTCTCCCCCTTCAAAAGCAACTGGATATTGGAGAGGACATGGATGTTCCTGAAATTGGAGTGGAGACCTCTGTGAGAGTTTAAAAAAAGGAGAAATACAATGATGGAGATTTGTTTGGGGTGTTATGAAAATTTGAGTTTGAAAGGGTCAGTGATGGAAGGAGCAGCGTTGGGGAGCATATGGTGCAATATAAGTGCCCCAGAACTACTTGGTGTAGGAATTTCTGTGTGAAGAAGCCTCTGCAGGACTTCTGTGAAGGCCAGGAATAGCTGCAGGCAGCAGATGATGGGGTGAACTTCATTACATCTTCTTTAAACGGTGAGGAGCTGGGGGCAAGGGAATTAAATCCTAGTTCAGTTGTTCCTGGATGCTGGAGAGTTTCTGTTCTGCCTTACAGCAAAGTGTCTGAACTGAGCTGCACACCTTGAGCAAAGAAAGAACAATTATCCTAAAATGAGAGAATCATTTGGGTTGGAAAAGCCCTCTGAGATCATCAAGTCCAACCATCAGGCACCACCACCACGGTCACCCCTAACCCATGTCCTTCAGTGCCACATCCACACAGTTTTTTTAACACTTCCAGGGATGGTGATTCCACTGCTGCCCTCAGCAGCCAATTCCAGTGCTTGACAACCCTTTCCATGAAGAAATGTTTCCTAATGTCTAATCCAAACCTCCCCTGGCTCAACTTGAGGCCGTTTCCTTTCTGTTTCCTCTCCATTCCTTACACGTTGTGGACCATCCTGACATCCTGGGGAGTCCCAAAGTGTCTGGGGAGTCCCAAAGTGGCACTGCAGTGTCTGTGAGGGAGCTGGGCTGAAGCTCAAATCATGTATAATTGGGAAGCAGGGATCCTGTAACACTGAAATTAATTGGATTTTTTTCTCTGTTATCTTTTTGATGCCTCGTGGGTTCACATGTGTTGTCTGAACACTATTTTAGGGTCTTTCTTGAAAGACAAGAAATAACCCCAAACCCTTCTCTTGTTTTTAAAAGTGGTAACTGTCAGAGTCCAAAATACTGCTTTTTAGCTGTTTAGCCTCTTTACTGCACATTGAATTCACCAAGAGGCTTTACATGTTTGTGGTTTCTATTAACATAGTCCCGCTCAAATTGATTCTTGTATGAATTTGTTATTTTAATTAATTGAGTCTTTTGATTGAGTCTGAATTGCCTCTGTTAGATGAAAGGGACTTTGCTCGTTTTTTTGTTGCTGTTGTTCTTTTTTTTGCTCTTTAATAACTGGAGGCAGTGAGAGGGAAGGGAAAGAAGAGAAGAATGGCTGATGTGTCACTTCATCATTTCTTTATCGCTGCTTACATGTAAATTATGCTCTGATTTCCTTCCCCAGGACTAGTGAGTAATGTGGTTTTCACAAGTCATGCTACAGAGCAGAGACATCCCCTCCTTGTGCAGCTGCAGAGCCTGATCCGAGCAGCAAATCCTGCTGTTTCCTTCATCCTGGCAGAGAATGGAATTGTGACAAGGTACCAATGATCCCTGTCCCAAAATTTATCACTTTTGGTAGATGGGACACGAGCACTTAAAAGCTTGTGTTCTCCTCTTTTATTCTGGTGATTTATAGGAAGGAAATGCAGATTTTTCTTAATTGCTTCTCATCCAAAAGGGGTTTTCCCTTTACATTTATGGCCATATAAATACAGGGATTAGGAAGTGGGGTTTGTTTGCAGAGTGTGATTGATTTATGTTACTGCCACTGCCACACTAGAGGAAAAATACTCTTAATTTTGCTGTCACTAACACATTATGTTTTATGTAACTAGGTAGTGGCTATTTTATGGAACTTATAAAATTAAAAATCTTCATCTTTATCTCCTTACAGGAACGAGGATATTGAATTAATTCTCTCAGAAAGCAGTTTTTCAAGTCCTCAGATGATGAGAGCCCGATATTTAATGTACCCTGGCTGGCAAGTATCTAGACTGAGAAGCATTAAAACTATTTTTCCAATTAACTTGAAGATTCAAATGTTTCACTGGCTTCATTTATACTTATTTCTTTTTTTCCCCAAGACTACTCACTTGGAACAGGCAGCAGCTTTGTAAATCATTTTTAAGGCAGCTGACGAGTTTTCTTAGCGGGTACACGATTGCCACCCTTTTATGGGGGAAAAGGCTCCTTTCTGGACACCATTTAAATCACGGGCAAGATTACTGTTGCTTTCCAGAAGAATGGGAAAGAACCCTCTGGGAATAAGCTGGGAAGGCTTGGGATGGGCGAGGTCAATAATGACTGGAGTAATTTCCCCCTGACAGCTCTTCAGCCTTTCTGGAATGAACCCGCTCTGTCAGTGGAGCCATTAACAGAACAATTATTCATAAAAGCCAGGACCTCAGTGACAGCCTTGGCACGGGCTGAGGGCACAGAACCACGTGGCACCAAGATTGCCATTGAACTCCAAGGAGATTTTTCATGGATCAGGGCTCTTTACACATCTTGTTGCAGTTATCTGTGCTGCACCTTTTTTGGCAGGAATATAAACCTGTCAGCCCTCATAACTCCTGGCTCCAGTGGTGGCTGTGCTGGAAAGATGATTTATTGCTCATACCTTGCCAGACCTGGATTTCTGTGTGTGTCTTTTGATTCATAAATCTGGTTGTAAATTGGAGGCTCCTGGAGAAAACTGGCACAAAGCTGGGGAGATGTTGGAGCTGCTTGTGGATTGTGTGGAGCCAAAGGGAAAGGGAGAGAAAGCAGGCAAGGAAAGTATTTCATAGAATCATAGAATCTGATTCTATTTAAAACTTTTGAGCAGCTGTTGATCTGTTTGATGACAGTGTGAAAGAATTATGTGGGTACTGTGTTAGGAAAAGGAAAAGGCAGCAGGAAGAGCATCAGAATATCCAGGGAGATCTTTTTGCAGCCTTCCAGTACTTCAGTTGGGCTCATGAAGGAGAGGAAGAGTGACTTTTTACATGGGTAGATGGTGGTAGGGCAAGGGAAAAGGGTTTTAAAGTAAAAGAGGAGGTTTAGATGGGATATTGGGAAGGAATTGTTGGCTGTGAGGGTGGTGAGGCCCTGGCACAGGTTGCCCAGAGAAGCTGTGGCTGCCCCTGGATCTCTGGAAGTGTCCAAGGCCAGGTTGGAGCAAGCTGGGCTAGTGGAAGGTGTCCCTGCCCATGGCACTGGCTTGGAAATTATCTTTAAGGTCCCTTCCAACCCAAACCATTCCTTGGCTCTTCCATGAAAAGGAGCCCTGAGCACTGGGAACAACCTGACACTGTTGATGCCACGTTTTCACGGACGTCTTGGAGAAGAAAACTCGGTGTTTTCCTCCTTGGGGGGAGGGAACAGATGTTCCTTTGAAGCAGTTTGGTGGGTGAAAGGCACCAGCTCAGGTGTTTTCTTTGTTTCTGGGTTCGTTTCTGCCCCAGGTACGAAGGCAAGTACGGGGCCGGGCCCGTGTTCCCCCCCATGGTGCAGATCTGTGTGTGGTTCAGCCGCCCCCTGGAGAAGACCCGATTCGTGGCCAAATGCAAAGGTACAGCTGAACTTTGCCCCACTTGACTGAAATCCAGCCTTGAAATCCTGAGGAGCAGAGGGGAAGGAAGGCACTGACGTTAACACAGTTATTTACTTACTGCCCAAGTCAACCTTTAATTGAGAATTCAGCTTTCCTGCCTAAAAGTACAGTAAATTCTGTCCCTCAGTGTCTGCTCGGGAAAACTGACACATGATTTCGTTCAGATAAAAATCTAATTTAGTTTTTGGTTTTTAGGACTGAGACAGTTGTGCTTTTTTAAAATTTTTTTTATTTGCCATTTATTTTTTATGTTTAATTTTATTTGGTGGTGTTGAAATACAGTTTATAAGGGACCATCAGCTTCTGCTTTTTATGCCAAATAATTCTTTGTAGCTACTGGAAATTAGGCTGAGCTCTGTTTTAGGCAAATAGGGTAGATATATAATCATGCCTTTCCTCAGCCAAGCAGTTTAAGGAGGACCATTTTACTTCCCACACACACTGAAAGCACTTCCTTGTGCCAAATACATGATATTTCCCAAACCCCAGAGCAGAGAAATGAGAACACAGAGAAATGTTATATGGTGGAACTCTAGGGACACAGCAGCTTTTCCCTTGGAAGCACTGGGATGTGGATTAGGGATCAGTAGCTGAGGTCTGAGCAGAAGCTGCACCAAGGAGAAGGAAAAATAAGTGAGATAATGTATTTTTCTTCTGTTTCAAACAGCCATTAAGTCGTTGCTCAAGCCAAGCCCCTTTTCTGGGAACATTTATCACATCATGGGCAAAGTGAAGTTTTCAGGTAAGAGCAAATCACTACTGAAGGGTTGTTTTGGGATCTCACTATATACATTTAAGAACTTATTTCTGTGCTGTATTGTGACTGTTGATGTTAAATGAGATCAGCAATTACCAGGGCATTTCTCCCTTCTGCCTTCTCCTTGTTAGACTCTGATAAAGTGATTGAGGTCTGTCACAACACCTCGTCCAATTCCCTGAGCCTGGTGCCTGTCCAGGAGGGGCCAACTCCTCCTGACTCCAGAAATGATCCCAGAGACTGCAGCAGTCAACAGGAATACTTCCTTGTGTTCATTGGCTGCTCCCTGAAGGAAGAGGATATCAAAGATTGGCTCAGAGAAACTGCAAAACAGGTTTGTGGGCAGGTTTCCTTTTGCTTCAGTGTTTGGCTGAAGAAATCCGAGTGTCTCCACAAAACATTTGTATTTTTAAGCTCTTTTTAATTCTACCAAGGCGTTGCCATTCTAGGGTGCAAATGTATTTCACAAGGGGGGGACTACCAGTTTCTGCAATTGCTGTATTGTTTTAGGACTTGCTACAGCTCATTCATGGATTGATGTGCTCCTGAATGCTGGAGCAATATGGATTCTGTCCAGGATAAACACAGGATGATGTAGCAGAGCTGTGATTGCCAAGAGCTCGAGTGTGGGGTGAAATAAATCTCCTTCAAGTACCTGAACGCTGCAAAGCAGAACATTTGTTTTGATTCACTAAATTAAACCTCCTTGGAAGTAATCCACTGGAATGGAGGGTTCTGCTCACTTTGTCACCCTTAATTAGCCAAGTGTGCAGCTCTGGAAGGCTCCCTGGATTTCTGCACGGCTGCAGTAGGAGCTGGAGGAGGGAACAGGGAATGTGCACCTTGGCAGGAGCCCAGAAGGCACAGTTTGCACACAGTGATTGATAGAATCTTAAATTCACAGAATTACAGAAGGGTTGGGTTGGAAGGGACCTTAAAGACCAGCTCATTCCAACCCCACACCTTCCACTAGCCCAGGTTTCTCCAAACCTCCGATCCAACCTGGCCTTGGACACTTCCAGGGATGAGGCAGCCACAGCTTCTCTGGGCAACCCGTGCCAGTGCAAATTTTGGAAAATTTATTCATTTAAAATACTCATGGTTACTTCTTTTTGCCTTAGGATTTGCGTAGTATTTCTAAAAGTTTGTGTAGGAAGGGAAAATGTTTCCTGCAGACTGTTGGAGCAGTTTTTAAGGATCCTCAGGTTCTCACCTCAGTTCTGGCAGGTCGTGTCCCTTCAGGGAAGTCATGGATTTTTTGGGGTTGTCTCATGCTCTGCCCGTCTCACAGGGGGAACACATGGAAAGAATTGCTCTCCCACTCTTAACTTTAACACTCTTAACTTTAGGAAAACTTGGGACTTAAATGCTTATCTCAAGTGTGAAGTGTTTCCTCTATGAGCAGTTCAAGACAGTAAATAGTCTTTACAATCTCCCCAGTCCTGGCTAATTTAGGGTTTTAGGTAGTTCTAAGAGTTACCCCTTTGCTGCCTGAAAGAAAGGAATTGTAGAACTTCTCAGGCTCAAAATGAAGTTGTTTTTATGTCCCTGTGCCAGCTCTCTTCATTTCTTGCACCAAAGCTGCATTTAAATTACATTGTTTAAAATACAATTTTTCTTTTCTAAGTGCTTTATGTAAAATCAGTGAATTTTTACTTTTGCTTTCACAACGTAGTTGTGAGCACCTCGATATAATTTTAGAAATTAATATTTGATCTATTTTGGGCTGGTTTTGGGGGTGGTTTTTTGTGGATTTTTTTTTTTAAACTAAGTAAACTGTGCTGTCACATTGTCACTCAGGAATTGTGCAACTGTCTAATTCTTCCTACAGAAACCTCAGAGGAAAGCCCTGAAAACCAGAGGAATGTTGACCCTTCAGGAAATAAAGAACATTCACGTGAGTAGAAGCAATTCCTTACAAGCCCCTTTTTTTTGGCTGATTCCCTTAAATATCCATCTGGATGACAGAGCACCTACCACAACAAGTGTGCTGAGCACTGAATTATTACAGCACTTACTGTCTTTGGAGATCCTTGGAACACAACTGGATTGGACATAGAAATCTTAGAGCTTCCAGTTCCTCTGGAAAGCAGGAGGAGCTGTAAAATCTTGGCCATCTGTAACGGTCCTTCCATTTTTCTTTCACCTAATCCAGTCTTTTAAGGCCTGTGTTTGCACAATTCCCAGTTTGAAGTGTTTCATTTGTGGTATTTATTCCCTAAATGCAGGTGAAACGTCACTTGGACCCGCTCCCAGCTGGTTATTTTTACAACGGGACTCAATTTGTGAATTTCTTTGGTGACAAAATGGATTTTCATCCCTGTATCCTTTCACAAAAAACTGGGGGTTTGGGGAAAGGTTTTGAGTTGTGCAGTGTCAAAGCACACATGGGAAAGAGCCAGTTCCTTGCCACTTAAAGTTCAGGGTTAATTTTTTCAGAGATAAGATCTAAGAAGCAGAATGGAACCAACGAAACAATCCCAAAACTGCTCATGAGCTCACTCAGGGAATAATTTATATGGGCCACAGCTTGTCAAAGGAATATTTTTCAACCCAAATTGGGCTGTAATATCCCTAAGTGCCTGGGCATGATTGATAAAGCTTTCAGAAGAATGGAATTTTGTGTGTGCACACACTCCACTGAAAACAATCATATTTTTGTCTTTAATATTATTACTCTGACATTTCTTGCCAGTGTTCCAGTGTATTCCTGTTCTTGTTCTCCACTTGGGGACATGGGTCTGTGGTGGCCTTGGCAATGCTGGGTTTATGGTTGGACTTGATCTTAGAGGGCTTTTCCAACCTTAATGATTCTGTGATTCTCTCATTTTCATCACTTCCCATCTCTTTTGTCTTTGTTTTATGACTAATTTCCAGTTTGGTTTTATATTCCCACTGTTCGCCATAATTCAACAAACTTCATGAAAATCCAAGTGGGTTCTGTGATGCTGCTTTGGAATAAGAGCAAACAGTTATTTTCTGTGTCCTATGGGACAACATAAAAAATTAAAACAGCAGACTTGGACTTCAGGATTCACTGGAAAAGTTAGGGATGTTTATTCCTGGAAGTGTCCAAGGCCAGGTTGGATGGGGCTTGGAGCAAGCTGGGCTAGTGGAAGGTGTCCCTGCCCATGGCAGGGGGTGGAACTGGATGATGTTTAAGGTCCTTTCCAACCCAAACCATCCTGGAATTCTGGGATTCTTTATTCCCCATCCACCTTGGTGATTGGCAATGAAAGCTCCAGGCCCTGGTCAATCCTTTCCGTGAGATTTGAATTTTAGGCAGAAACTTTTGGACTTCTGCATCACCAAAATACCTGTAAATACATTCACAGAGTCATGGGATGGTTTGGGTTGGAAGGGACTTTATGGACCATCCAGTGCCACCCCCTACCAGGAGCAGGGACACCTTCCACTAGCCCAGCTTGCTCCAACCTGCCCTTGGACACTTCCAGGGATCCAGGGGCAGCCACAGCTTCTCTGGGAAACCTGTGCCAGGGCCTCCCCACTCTCCCAGCCAGGAATTCCTTCCCAGTATCCCACCTAACTCTGCTGTAGTTCTTATATCCTTCCTCCTGCCTGGGAAGTATCCCTTGTGCAGCTCTTTTTTTCCCCTGGTCCAACAGTAGTTGTGCTCAGCTCTGACTGCACGACTCCAGAAGGTCATATATTGAATTCCTGCTTTCCCTGAGCATCCCTGACCTGCCACATCCTTCAAACCTGGATGTTTTTTTCCTAAATGCCATTTGCACTGCTGTTTTTCCTTAATTTTTCCCAAGTAATGGACCAATTCATGAACGATTACCTGGAAGAAGCCAACAGGGAGATCGAGAAGTACAACAGGGAGCTGGAGGAGCAAGAGTACCACGACCTCTTTGAGCAGAAGACATAAAGCACGTGGGTCCTGGGGGTTTCCAAACCACCCTAAATGCTCTTTGTCCTTGCTGGGTCACTAGAATTTGAGGGAATTGTCTGTTTGTTCAGCACTCCTTTCCAAACTAAGAGATCATTCCTGTAAGGTTGGCGTTTAACACGGGATCTGCTTAGCTGTGTGTCCTGTCAGGTTTGCTTCCACTTCACCTTAATTCCAGACTGTCCAAAGCATCACCTGGAATCTCTGGGGGGGTTGTGGGGACTTGTTCAAAAGAAGAACGAGAAGAAGAAGAAGAAAAAGAAGAAGAAAAGAAGCAAAACTTTATTTATTTCCTGTAGTTGGGAATGTAATCGTGGAATTGGGCTTTGTGCAGAGAATCAAACTGCTCTGGGTGTCCCTTGGAATTTGTGGCACAGGAGCATCAGTGAGCAGTGCTGGATATCAGGGTGTGGGATTGGGGGTGTTCCCGAAGCCAGAAATGGGGGAACACTTACTCAGAAAAGTCCCCAATCCCACAGCTGTGGGGTGTTCCCAAAGTGAGAAATGGGGGAACATTGGGAAAAATATAGAAGAGTCCCCAGTCCCACAGCTTTTAGGTTGTTCCCAAAGTGAGAAATGGGGGAACGATTCAAAAACTTGGAATCCCTAATCCCACAGCTGTGGGGTGTTCCCAAAGTGAGAAATGGGGGAACACTGGGAGGAACTCTGAAGAGTCCCCAATCCCACAGCTTTTAGGATGTTCCCAAAGTGAGAAATGGGGGAATGATTCAAAAACTTAGGATCTGTAAATCTGCAGCTGCCAGGATATTCCCAAAGCGAGAAAAGAGGGAACAGTTACTCAAAAAAGACCCTAATCCCACAGTTGTCGAGGTGTTCCTGAAGGGGAAAATGGGGGAATAATTAAAGAATTTAGAAGAATAACTAATCCCACGGCTGTTGAGTGTTCCCAAAGTGAGAAACTGGGGAACAATGGGAAGAACTCTGAAGAGCCCCCAGTCCCACTGCTGTTGGGGTGTTCCCAAAGCGAGAAATGGGGGAACATTTCAAAACCTCAGAATTCCTAAACCTAAAGCTGTTGGGGCGTTCCCAAAGTGAGAAAAGGGGGAATGATTCAAAAATTTAGAATCCCTAAATCTGCAGGTATCAGGGTGTTCCCAAAGCGAGAAATGGGGGAACAGTTACTTGAAAAAGTCCCTACTCCTGCAGGTTTTAGGGTGTTCCCAAAGCAAGAAATGGGGGAGCGATTCAGAAACTTGGAATCCCTAAATCTGCAGCTGTGGGGATGTTCCCAAAGCGAGAAATGGGGGAACAGTGGGAAAAAGAAGAGTCCCCAGTCCCACAGCTGTCAGGGTGTTCCCAAAGTGGGAAATTGGGGAACACTT